TTTTTTTGGTGTATCACTTGGTAAAACTTCTAAAGCTGCTAATGAAGATATGAGAGCTGATTTAAAAGGTTCATCAACACAAAAGATTGATTGTTTAGGATTAATATTTTCATGTGTTGGAAAATCAGACAATTGCTTTGGAGGATTAGAAAGAATAGTTGCTAATGTTTTTTTAAGTAAATCAACTGATGGTATATACTTATAAAGTAATGAAGGTGGACATACAGTACAAACAACTGATAAATATCTATAAGCAGCTGAACGTAAACTTTCTGGAGCTTTTTTAAGACAAATAATAGAAGAAGCAATTGGAAGTGAAATAAACATAAAAGAAACTAACTTATCTGCAGGTAAAGGTAAACGTAAACAAGACTCAGCAATTTTTAATAATGGAGATGGTAAATGAATTAATTCATTTAAATCAGTTAATGAAGAAATATATTCAGATAAATAAAAGAATGGAACTTCACAATTTGGATTATTCATATAAATTTTTGTAAAAAGTTCTGCATTTTTTTCATTTAATGAAGAAACAATTTCTAAAGAATATAAAGAATATAAACCATCTAAAATAATAACGTATGGCTCAACTTCTATTTGATCATCAATAGTAAGATATTGACCAATTTTTTTAAAACATTTTCCAACAATAAAAATAAATGTTTGTTGATATTCAGCAATAGAGAAATTAGAAATAGTATTTTGTTCTTTAAATAATGGGTCAATATATGACTTAATTTTATAACACACTTTTTTAAAAAGAATTGCAATATCTTCAATATTTTTTCCTTTTTCAATATATTCATAAAATGTTGTAAATGTTTCTTCTGTAACATATTTATCAAAAAATAATAAGAAGTCATCATATATTGATAATATTTTATTTGTTTCATTTGAATTAATTTCAAATGCACGTTTTAATAAATATCTAACACTTTTTTTAACAATATAAATTTGTTTAATACTATCAGGTTTATTATTTGATTGAATTTTTGATAATATTCTTTTCATTGTATCAGTTAATGAAGGAATATTAAGTCCTAATTTATTATATGTTTGTTTTTCATCATCACTATTACACATAATTGTATAATGAACACATTGTTTAAAAAATTCATATATTAATTGATCCATTAAACCATCTTCATTTTGAAATGTCTCTGTTACAGTGAGTAACATATCAACCATTGGTTTTAAAAATTCAAATGCATTTTCAATAATTCTTGGAGTATTTCTCGATGTTGTATTCCAAAAGAAATGTTTAATATTTTCTGAAGGATTAGGAAGGAATATAATAAGTTTAGTAATTACAGTAAAATGTCTCATTAATAATGTGAATTGTTTAATTGTAAAAGCTGATTGTCTTTTAACCTCTGATGAAACATTTTTATTAGGACAAATATTATCAAATACTTGTTTAATAAATTTAATTGCATGAATCATATTATGAATACCTAGTCTGTGTGATGTTATTATTCTCCATGAAATATTAAATAAATTAATAATTGCACTTGTTGTGAGTGCTTTTGGATATGACTTAGCAACCATTTCCAATACTTTATTAAATACAACTAATAATCTTGAATTAGGTTGAATGTCAATATTTTTTAACGACTCTTCTGCTTTTTCTAATATTGAACCAATTTCAATTAGTGTATTTACTCCATCTTGAAATAAATCTCTTGGAAGAGTAAATGAATCATTTGCTAAACAAAGAAATCTTTGATGAACAGTTCTAACCATTTCTGAACGACTTTCATTTTTTGAATTTGCTCTAATATAAATCAATGCAAATTTACAAAATGCTTGATATAATTGAATTAGAACTTTAAAATTATTAGTTGAAAGAGGAGGAAGAGGATTTTTAAAAACTAATACAGTTGATTCAATAACATCAGAAAATGTTTGTAATAAAGAAGGATTTTGATCTACAATAGTACAAATAAGTTTTGATATTTCAAATAATACATCTGCTTTATATGGGTATAAAACCATACGATAAAATGTTTCTTGATTTGGAATATTATTAATTTCTTTACCAACATAATTATTTAATTTATTAATAATAAGTGTTGTTAATGTTTTTTCAATATCTAATTTTTTAGTTTCTTCTGGAAAAAGTGATACAATTTCATTAATAAGTGAAACAGTTACTAATTCTACTCTTTCTTTTCCACATTCAAACATATGAGTTGCGATTGTTATAATTTTATCTAATCTATCTTTAGATAATATTTTATATAAAAAATTAAATAACTTTTCTACACAATTATTTCTCCAATGTTGATCTTTTAATGGACATTCTTCAAAAAATAAAATTCCATTAAAAATATATGGATAAATAGATTTGGCAAATTCGGCTGGTATCTCATTTTCTGTATAAAACACCATTTCTAATTTATCAATTATTAATGAAACTTTATCCATTTGGATTTCATTCTTTTTTATTTCTTCTGGTGTTTTTCCTGTAAAGTTTTCTTTTGTGATTGTTTCGAGAATTTCACTTTGGAGTTGCCTTAATGACTGTGGAATCATTTCTAATTTTTTTAGTTTTTTTTTATAGAAAAAACACAAAATTATTTATTAAACATAATGTTTTTCATTAAATTTTTATTATTCATTTTTAAAGAACGATAACAATAACTCTTTTTATTATAACGATTTATTCCTCACTGTTTTTTTGTATTTTGTAACTTTTTTTTTGAAATTATCCTTTTTTTAAGTGGAATAAAAGCTAAGCTATAAATTCTTCTAGTACTTTGATCTTCTCTTATATACAACTATTTTCTTTATTATTCTAAGATAATGCCTTAAGTTCTTATACTTCAGTAAAAAGAAAAAATAATTCAAAATAGTTTTGTGTTGATTAAGTCAGTCAAAAGGATATGTCCTGACAAAAAATTAAATCATCAAAAACAAAAAACTTATTTATAAAAATAATTAGAAAAGTTAGATGAACTTAGATTGAATCATATTATCCATGCAAACAACTAAAGATGTAAAAACCCCTAAAGGACTAACAAAAGATAAACAACGAGTCCGTTATAAAGAATACCAATGTACGTATCCTGGATGTAATGAAGGATTAAAAACTAAATATAATTGTATTTCACATATATGGGATATTCATTTAAGATATCTTAATGGCTCAAAAGAATCATTTAAATCAATTGAAAATAAAGAAGAAATTAAAAAATTGTGTATTCCCTTTCTAAAGTATGTCACAAATGCAGAAAGTGAAAGAAAAAGAAGACCATATGACATGGGTGATTTAACTAATGGAGACATTGCAGAACAACAAACAATGATTACACCAACACCTTCAGTTATTCCCCAATTTGTTATTACTAATAAGATTACCCCTCCTCAAAGCATTTCCCCTCAAACGTTAAGTGGTATTTCACCAGATTTTATGATGACAACAAGCCCAAACCAAATATCTAAAACTAATTCAAATTCTCAACAAAATTCAAGTTCAATGGAAACAAATAGAACAATGACTATGTATACTACAAACCCAATTGGAACAGATGAAATCAATTATATTTTAACACCTGAAATGCAACAACAAATTCAAACTGCACAAACAATTAATGCAAATATCTGTCAAACAACTCAAATTCCACAACAAATTAGTTTAAGTCCTATTGCTTATCAATTATTAACAAATAATGAAGAATTTATTAGAGTTTATATGATTAATCAAAATATTAAACGTCTTCATGTTGCTGGGGAAGTATTTGCTGAAAATGGATTTTTACAACGTTCAGATAGAAGAAGTAAAAAAGATATTAAGAAAATTTCTGATGCACTTAATACTATATTAATGATTACTGGTAAATCATATAAATACTTGAATGATGACAAAACTCGATTTGGCTTTATTGCACAAGAATTAAAAGAAGTCATTCCTGAGGCTGTTAGGGAAGATGAAGATGGTTCACTATCTATTGACCCATTAGCTTTATTACCATTTATTGTTGAGTCATTAAAACAACTCTCATTTCAATTAAACAATCTTGAACATAAAACAGCAAAAAGTAAACAATTTTGTTACAATGTTAACCAGACTTTAGATATTATTAATCAGGTAAAAAACAAAGAAGAGAGAAATATCTCCTTAGGTCCAACTGAATTTGTATTTCCAATAGCAATATTCTTTACTATTATTTCAGGCATTTTATCGTTTGATGGAAGGTTCCCATTTATATGGACATATTCTACATTAGTAGCATCTTGTTATTGGATTTCAAAGAAATTATGTTCAAATGGAAAGTGGGATAATATTTCAATTAGTCTTAATTTTGGATTAATAAACCTTGGACTAGTGTCTGTAGCAATAACTTTTCTTATGGGTTCTGCACTTCAAATATTCCTTGGGATATATATTTGTGTAATGTTATTTGTTTGGGGTGGAAGTCAAAATATTAAAGCTTCATTTGTGAATTTCTTTATTGTATCATTTGCACTTTCATGTATTGCATGTTGGATTGTATTTATTTTCCAACCAACATTTAAACCAACAGTATCTACATTAATGCAAAGAAATCCAGACTTTCCTGACTATGTTCAATTTACAGACCCTAAACAAGTTCAATTCCAACTAACATCAGAAGTTCCTTGGAATTGTCTTGACCCTCATCTAGTTGCTAAAGGAAAAAGAATGCAATTTAAACGAGGGGATACTCCTTTGATTACTTATGCTGAAAATGCTGAAGAAGCAAGGGGGGATAAAGTTCAAGTTAAACTTTCATGTTCATCAATAGAGTATCAATGTGATGAATTTAACGTTGCACAAGATCACCAAAATGTATGTTTATTTGTAGAAGACAATGACCAAAACGAATCAACAATGAATTAAATAAATATGTATTTCAAGTCATTAATTTCCATTATTTTCTATTGTTAAATAAAATAGTTTTAATTTTATAATAAGTCATAAAAAAGATATATAAAAACCCTTGAAATGAAACTTAAAAAATATATATCAATTTTAGGTTATGGAATCATTTGTTGTAACTAAAACAGGACATCATATGGATATTCCTGATGGTTCATATGTTAAATTATTAAATTTTGCATATAAAGGAAATAAACCATCAAGTGTTGTTTTAAAAGTTTATAATGAAAAAGAAGAAGAATTACGAGCTATCTTATGTACACTTACTCCAGAACATCCTCAATACTTTGCTGAGATTATTGTAGCAGGCCCATCTGCTGATTTTGAATTAATTGGAGATGATGAAATTACTGTTTATATGGATATTGATTTTGATGATATAACAAAGTTTGAGGATGATGATGATATGACATTTGATGACATGGAGGATGACGAAGAAGAGGAAGAGTCTCCTAAGAAAGAAGTTATTAAAAAAGAGGAAAAGAAACCTCAACCACCTAAACAAGAAAAAAAACCTCAACCACCTAAACAAGAAAAAAAACCTCAACAACCACAAAAGAAGGAAAGTAAGCAACAACAACCACAAAAGAAGGAAAGTAAGCAACAACAACCACAAAAAAAACAATTCCAAGAAAATAAAAAGAAGAATAAAAACCATGGAAAAAAACAACACTAAACCTGAATGAAAAATGACTCATTTTTTGTTAAATTTTTTTTGTTATAGTTATCTGAAGAAGTATCAAATTTAAAAAAATTTTTATAAAAGTCAAAAATAAATAAATAAAGCAATTAATTAAGTATTAATAGAAATACTTCTATTCTTCCTGGATTAGGGGAGACTAATAACAATGAGTCTTCTTCAATCAGCTCTACGGAGTATGTTTGGTTATGATAAAATCAATATTCCATGACATCCATCATGTTTTTTATGACAAGGTTTTTAATTTCTTTCTCGATGTCAATGTCAATTTTTAATATTTTAATTAATTTGATACTTTCAGATCCTTTTCCAATTCAGGATATACAACAAATTTTATTGCCATTGTTATGGAGTAACGCCTTGACTTCTTGTAAAGAAAAGCAAACAAGACATAGAAATACAAGGTTAAATGCCAATAACAACAATAAAAGATATTAAGATTATAATAAAAGATATCACAATTATGATAAAAGAAATACCAAGAGAAAAATGATTAAAAACAACAAAGACAAAGAAGAACGAATAAAAAACATGATAAATACTGGAATAATAATGAATATACAAACAATAGACATATATGGTTAACAATAAAAGATATACATGAAAGAATAAAAGGAATAACAAGTAAATGGGAAAAGGGAGAATATTCAGAAATACTTAAAAAATACGAAGGTAAAAGAAAAAGATGATATGATATTCTTCAAGAAGTATATGCAATTAGAAAGAAATGCAAGAAGAATTTAAGGAAAGAACAAAAGGATGGGAAGAAGACATCCAAGCAATCGAAACAGAAATGAAAAGTAGAAACCCAATCAAAGAATTACAAAAAAAAAGATGTAAAATGGCTAAAATAATAAATGAAACAGAAAAAGAAAGAAAAACACAAGAAGAAACAAAGAATGAAGATGAAAATTATAAAGAAAAAGAAGAAATTAAAATACTTCAAAAGCAGATTAAAAGAATAGAAGAAGAAATTAAAGAATATAGTATGAAAAGAAAGGAAGAAGAACAAGCCATCTCAGATGAAATGATGGAAAAAGCAAAAGAAATAGTTAGGAAAGAATTTGAGAAAGAGATAGAAATTATGAAAAAAGAAATTAAGAAAGTTCAAACGAATTATAATGAAATGAAGAAAGAAAATGAAAAACTAACAGAAGAAAATATAAAATTACAAGGAAAAATAAATGAGATAGAAGGAAAATCATGGAAATGAATAACAAAGAAGAAACCATTCGAAGTCTAAAATCCACTAAAGGGAAGTTACAGAAGGAAAAGGATGAATAAAAAGGAGAAAGCTGAAGAGCTGAAGAAAAAAGGAGAATTACTGGAGAAGAAGAATAGTGTGTTAGAGGAACAAGCAGAAGTACTAGAGAAGAAAGTTGAGGAGCTGAAGAGTAAGTTAAGAGATAAAGAAAAACAAATCTCTGAAATTCAACAAGCAGCAATAATAAGTCATGAGATTACAGAAAGAACAAGAGAAGAATTAGACAACACACAAAAAGAAAATGAAACACAAAAACAAATAATATCAAAACAACAAGATGATATTGAAAATTTTATCTCACAGAAGGAATTAGAGAAGAAGAAAACGATGACACTTGTGATAAATACACAACCAATATTGAGGAAAGCATCATCAGGAACAATGGAGATGAACGAAACTACTCCTATGAAAAAGACAGTAGTGGAAATCGAAGAGAAAAGCAAAGCACTGATTGTCAAAAAACAAGAGATGATAATCAGACAAGAAATACAACAAAAGAAAGAAATAGAATTTTAATTGAAGTGTTGTATTGTTTTGCAATTAATTGGTTAAACAAGAAATTATATAAGAAATTAAGATGGGAACAAATAGAAAGTATAATAAAAATGATAAATATCAATGTCAATAATGAAAATGAATATATTAAATATATTAAAATATCACATAAAATAAAAGAAAGCACTAAACAATACATTAAAATGAAAGTAAATGATATAATAGAAGGAAGAGTAGAGTGTGATTCAATAATAAAAAACATCATATTAAAGAATAACTCTACAGAAATTGATGAAGAATACCTTAACACTCTCATCAATAAAATAAAAGAAATGAAAGTAGAAAAATGTTCAAACATTAGTTACTACTTTCAAAGACAAGAAGCTGACTGATTAATAATGGAAATTAATAATAGATGGATATTGTCAGGAAGCAGAATGCAGGATCTGCAAGATGATATGAAGAGGATTTCAATGGTTATGCACCTCTATCTCCAAAATAAAATAATAGGAGATAAAATTGATGAAATAAAAGAAATCCTAAATAAAATTAATAGAATAGAAGATATATTCAATGAAATTGTACAGAATAAAGTGCATCATGAAATTAAAAGAATATGAAGAAGAATGAATAAAAGTTAAAGCACTAGAAAGAATAAAGTACATAAAATATATGATGACAATGATCAAAGAATTAAATTTAATAAGGAAGAAAGGGTCAGAATCAATACAAATAAAATCATATTTGATTCTAACAAGAAAATTAGAATAAGGAAGAAACAACAAATGAAATATACCCAAATAACGATATTACTTTAGAATATTGGAAATCGTTATATGAAACACAGGTGATTTAAATAAAGAGAATTGGAAAATAAAACAAATCACCTTATTGAATGAAAGATATATCAATTATGATAGTGTCATAATAACAATAAATGAATTAAATTCAAGTATAATGAAAATAAATAACTGGAAAACACCAGGAATAGACACTATATATTTGTATTATTGGAAAATGATGTCATCATCAAGAGAAATCATTCCCACTATCTTTAACGAATGGTTAAACTTCATTCAAAACATCAAATGAGACATGGTAAGTTGAAGAACTTTATTAATCCACAAATTGATATGAATAATGTCACTAATTATCGTCCTATCAGTTGTACAAATGTAATTATGAAAGTATTTACCTCCATATTAAAAGAAAAGATTCACAGAAGACTTAACATGAATTGTGAATCATTGAAAATCAGTAATAATCAATTGGGATGTAAGTTACAGTCTTTAGCTGATAAAGAAGGAATAATTAATAGTTATATGTTAAAGCAGCAGAAAGAAGAAAAATAAACAAAATATGATGAGTCATATTATGACATTAAGAAATTATATGACACTGTCAACCACGAATGGGTAATTGAATCATTAAAGTATTTTAATGTAGAGGGTGTCATCATTGACATTATTGAAAGTATGATGACTAGATGGAAGATATTCATTGGCTATAAATTTAATGAATATCTATGATGTATTAAATTAAATAGAGGAATTTTACAAGGTGATTCCTTATCCCCTCTACTCTTCATCATTCAGATGAACGTAATTTCTCAAATCATCGAAGAGAAATTCCCAAAATCAAATCACACTTTATATATTGATGATTTGAGAATAATGACGGAAAGTAGTGAAGTAATTTGAATAATTAACAATGAAATTAAAGAAATAATAAGTTACATATTGATGGAAATGAATGAGAAAAAGTCAGGATTGGTATTAAAAAACATTAAAGAAATACCAAATGGAATGTAAAACATCCCCGTAGTTGAATATGAGGACTTGTATAAATACTTAGGAATATGGCAGTCCGACGAAATTGATGACACCTTCAATTGTAAAACCATCAAAGAAAAAATGAATCAGAAGATGGAAGAAATAAACACTGATGAAAGTGGTAATAGAAGATATAATACTAGAACAAACACGGAAGTAATCCCTATCTTCAGATATTCAGCATCAGTTGTAAATTGGAAAATAACTGACCTAGATAAAATTGATTTGGAGATAAGAAAATATTTAAGAAAGGCAAAATACATTGGTGAAACTCCAAAGATAGGTTGTATGTCCCTCTAGAAGAAATGGGTGAAGGATTAATAAATATAATGGACGAATATGTTATTGAATTAGTAAGAACAATAATGTACTACTGTACAAGAGAAAGTGAAATAGGAAATAACATATTAGATAGATGGTACAGTAAGAAAGGAATATGGAATAGAATTAAAAAACACCAATTCATAAAATAAATGAAACAAAAATAGAAGAAATAATAAATGAAAGAATAGAAAATAAAAAAGAAAAAGAAGTAGTAGTAGAAATAAAAAAATTATTGACCGACCAATACATCAAAAAATGGAAGTGTCATCAAATAAGTGACATTTTAGAATATGGTTTGATTCAAAATGAGTAGATAAAACTACTACAATGAAGGCATGGAAGTCAATCAATATTAAAAAGAATGCATTTCTACAATTAACTAAAATGCAAGATGGAGCAATATTTTGTATGTACAAGAAAACAAAAATAATGAAAAATGAAAGATTGAAATACTGCCCACTTTGTAAAGACAAAATATCTACAGTAGAACACATTCTACTATCTTGTATTGGTCATAAAAAATCACAAATGGAAAAACATGACAATATTGGCATTATAATATTGGAGGGATTAATAAGAAAATATACATGAAATAAACAATATAAAAAACTCCATATGAAACAATGTTCAAATATAAAGACATCACAATGATATTGAACAAACAAATAATACCCAAAAGTGAATGACAATATCACAAAATACCAGATATATATGTATTAGATAAAAAAGAACAAAACTTGTCTATTATTTGATATGATTAATGTTGAATATCACAATATTAATTGAGCGTATTGGAAGAAAAGAAATAAGTATAAAGAATTAAAGAATAGGCTAATGAAAATAGAAAAGTTAAAATATGTCAAAATAATTCCAGTAATAATTTCAATTAATGGATTAGTGAATAAAGAAAGTAATAAATTAATTAAAGAAATAAAAATTGACATTGACATCGAGAAAGAAGTAAAAACCATTGTAATAAAAAACATGATGGATGTCATAGAATACTACTTCTATCACAATCAAACATACTCCGTAGAGCTGATTGAAGAAGACTCATTGTT